TTACTTCCTTATTTCAAATCCTGAAACTTCTTCAGCCACATCATGTTCCTGCCAGAGTCTGAAAACTAATAGTCTTTAGAGAGGTCTGGGGTTGAGTGGAGTCACTTAGGGAATGACACGCCTCTGGGCTGCTGATTTTCCAGGTGTTGCTCTGAGATTGCATTAAGAAAATTCTCAGGAAGTTTTGGTCCTCTTGATTTCTAATTTTGTGATTGATTTAGAATTGCAGCAATATCATGAGTTGCTAATTTTTTAAAAGGTAATTTTCTTTTCTTTGTAAAAGTAATTCATACTAATTGTAGAAATTTGGAAAAATATCAAAAGGCATAATGCCGAAAATTACCCATAATTCTGGTATTCAGGGCTAATCACTACAAAACATTTTGTTGTATTTTTATGTGCATAATTAAGATTACTGTGTATAAATTTTGATTTCTACTTTTTCTATTTAGCATATGGATATTTTCTCTTGCATTGAGAGCAGTACAGCCTAGGAGCTTGTATTAGTTTCCTGTGGTGGCTGTGACAAATTTCCACAAACTGGGTCGCTTAAAACAACAGAAATCTATTCTCTCACCATTCTGGAGGCCATAAGTCCAAATCAAGATATAGGCAGGCCTGTGCTCCCTCTGGAAGCTCTAGGGGAGAGCCCATTTCTTGCCCCTCCAAGTTTCTGGTGGCTGCTGACATTCATTGGCATGTGGCCCCGTCACTCCAATATCTGTCTCTGTTTTCATGTGGCTTCCTCATTTGTGTGTGTGTGTGTGTGTGTGTGTGTGAGAAGTGTCCCTCTGCCTCTCTTATAAGGGCACTTGTGATGGCATCTAGGGCCCACCCAAATAATTGAGGACATCTCCTCATCTTAAGATTCTTCTCTTAATCACGTCTGCAGAGACCCTTTATCTGTGTGTGGTAACATTTACAGGTTCCAGGATTAGGACCTGATATCTTTGGGCCCATTATTTAGCCTCCCACAGAGTTTAAGAGCGTGGATTTAGGGGCCGGCCCAGTGGCGCAAGAGGTTAAGAGCGTGGATTTAGGAGCCAGTCTGTGTGGGTTGAAATCCCAGTGCCATCTGTTACTAGCAGGATGACCTTGGGCAAGTGTCTTAACTCTTGGTGCCTCCATTGTCTTATTTGTGAAGTGGGCACAATAACAGTACCTACCTCATTGAGTCAGTATAAGGATTAGAAGGGTTCACATATGTAAAACACCTAATAAGCTTAGGATAGTGTCTGGCTCATGTAAGGATCAGCTGTTATTATTGTAGTTGTTATTTTTTGGGGGAATTCTTTGTAAAATGTCATTTTAATGGCTGCATAAAACTTTATGAGTATATCATAATTTATTTAATCATTTCCTTTTGTTAGCTATTAAGTTTATTTCCAGTTTTCTAATCTCGTATATAACACTGTCATGGATACCTTTGAGCATTAAGTTTTGTCTCCATTTCAGATTCATTCCCTAGCATAGAGTTCTGAAAATGGAATTACAATGTCAAAAGGTATGTACGATTTTTAGCCACTTAATAAGAATTTGCCAAATTGCTTTCCAGAAAGACTGTGTCTGTTACACTCCTACCAGTAGTTGAAATGATGGATGTGCCCATTTTATTGTGGCCGTACCATCATCGGGTGTCATCATTTTAAACATTCTCAGGTGTTTTGACATGGTCTGCCCTTTAAGGCTGAGATGTAACATAGCAAAGGGACTCAACATAGTGATTCCTTTAGCAAGGGGTATTCAAGGCCAGAAAACTTCTAATGAGAAATGAAATCCTTGCCTTGTCAAGTCTCCAAGTGCCTTCTCCAGGTTATGAAGCCTGGAAATTTCCTGAGTATTTCCACGGTTACGGGGAGGGGTATTGAGGGAGAGGATATGTTACTAGCAGACAGTGCTAGGTACACAAGGATTTTAATAAAACAGTTTTGTTTCTTTTCTGAAACTTGGACACTGGAACCTTGGACCATTTGATGGGATGAGGGAGGCACACTTGAACAGAACGCAGATCAATTTAATCACCTTACAACTAAAGCCATGTGAGGGACAGGCTGATGGGGTGGGGAGGGCCCATCTCCTGCACTGCCTGCCAGGTAAGGTGGGAGACCAGCCCTGGGAAGGGCTGAGGGAACAGTCTGCAGCTACTCTTTGCACACCTGCCACCTGCTAGCCTCCTTTCCTTTCCTAGGGGTTGTGCGTTGCAGTCTGGTCTTAGCCAGCCCAGGCCTCTGGGCTATAGAGGAAGAGTAGGGGTCCAGAGTGTGTCTGCTCAAACGGTCCTACTTCAGAGGTCATTTGGTCCACTGCTCTTCAGACCATCTGTGGTGAAAGTGATTGGTGTTTTCCCCCCAGTGGTGAATTGATATGAGTGTACAGTGCACCCCATGTGTAACTAGTCACACACAAATTCAACAATACCCAAACCATTTGTAGTGGGCTAAGTGGTAACCCCAAAGATGTGTCTGTGTCCAAATCCCAGGAACCTGTAAATGTTACCTTATTTGGAAAAAGTGTCTTTGTAGACGTGATTAACTTAAGGATTTTGGGATGAGGAGATCATCTTGGATTATCCAGGTGATCTCTAAATGCCATCATAAGTGTCCTTATAAGAGAGCAAGAGGGAGATGTGAAACACGCATACAGAGGAGGAGGCAGTGAAGTGGAGTGATGTGGCTATAAGCCAAGGCATGCTGACAGCCACCAGAGGCTGGGAAAGGCGAGGAAGAGATTCTTTCCTAGAGCTTGTGGAGGGAGTGTGGCCCTGCCTACACCTTGATTTCAGGCTTCTGGCCCCAGAACTGTGCAAGAATAAATTTTTGTTCTTTTTACACCACTTAGTTTGTGGTAATTTGTTATGGCAGCCACAGGAAACTCATATACCAATCTATGTTCTGTTCAACAAGACAGTGCCATTGCTTGGCAGTGTAGCAATATCAGTATGCTATGAACTATGCTAGAAAATAGCAATATGCTATAAAAGCTTCTAGGCTTCTCTTAATTTCTCTACTTATCTTGTTGTGAACCAGCAGCAAAGAGTTGGTGGATGGCACCGCTTTGTAGATTACCCTTTGAGTCCCACTGGTCTAGTTGCCCTACCTTTACCGATGAGGAAACTGGGGCCCAGAGAGGATGTGGTAAGACTGGATTAGAGCACAGGTACCTCTATGGCTTGGAATGGATAGACGTGATGTGGCATCAGCCTCCTGGGGGCCAGGTCTGGGGTGAGTGGACAGGAGAGCTGCCCTTTGGCCTGTTCTGTGGGCCAGCTAGTGTCCCTGTCACTATTCTGTACCCTGCTGAGTGAAAGCTGATGCTCCACTGAGCCCTGGAGCACTGAGCTGCTTAGAAGGCCCAGAAACCAGGGGAAATTTGTAAAGCCTTTGCTGCAGCTAATGAGCCAACAGCAGCAGGCAAAGGACCCTGTCGAGGGTAAAGGTCATAGCTTCCTGTCAATTTAATTTCCAGCTGACTGCTTGAGCCTTTGTAGTTTGGGTCATATTTTCCCTCTGCAGCCCAATTTTAAATTTCTACATTTTCTATATGGTAATTATCTCTTAGAGAATATGGGATTAAACCACAGTCTTCTTGACTCTTATGCTGCTTGAATAAAGTCCATCCAACTTGGCATTCAGGGCCGCCTGAAGAACTTTCTCCTTTCTATCCCTGCCTCTCACCCCTCCCTTTTATACACCTTAGTCTTTAAACTTCACCAAAATCATTGCTCCCCAGTAGAGGGGACTAGAAGAAGTTAGATTCTTGAAGCCCTACAGTAGGTGAGTTTGTGGTTGACCAACTGAAGAACCAATGGAAAAGTATGGCAAGGGGGTAGTGGGCATCAATCTTTGAAGATCTCAGGAAAAAAAATCTTCACATTTACTAAAATAGACTAAAAAGATATCATAAGCAGCTAGTCACCAGCATGACTAGCACGTGTACTAAGTCATCCAGCCCATATGAGCCACCAGACAGCTGTAGCCACATGAGTAAACCAGACACAACCAGAAGGAAAAAACCCCTGGCTGAGCCCAGCACTGATTGTTGACCCACCAAACCAAGAGTAAATAAAATGTTTATTGTTTAAGACAAAAAAAAAAAATAAAAGGCCGGCCTAGTAAATCAAGACTTATCTTTGAGTTGTTACACTTCTTATTTTAGTGATGATAGGCATTGTGGTTACTCAATTATTCCTTGCTTGCTATAGACACTTTTCAGAGTCTCCCACCTTTGTATTTTCAATGACGTTCTTATTTATTTTGTTTTGTTATGAAGAATGCCCATACTTAAGACCCCTTTTCCCTAGTATCTGGGCCTCCATCTTAGTATTTAATACTGCTGGGATTTTATGAATTATTTGTTGGGTCTATTCCCTGGGTCTCACACATCTCTCTCTCTTCTCCTCTCAGATATTATGGGACAGTAGTTCAGAGGCCCGGGTCACTTTCTTTCATCTTTTTTAATTTTTCCCAAGGCTTTGTTTCCAAAGCCTCTATTTCTCACTGTCTACTTTTGTTTCCTTTTCTAGTCCCAACCCTGGATCTCTTATTCTTGGATCAGTGATTTTTGTTGCAAGGAACAGAAGTGCTCCCATGCCAGCTTATGTTAGCAGAGGGTTTGTTATAGGAATCTCAGGAACGCAGGGAACAAAGCTTGACCAGCCTGCTGGGAGCTGGAGTGGGAAGGGCCTTCTAACTCAGGAGTGACACCAACCTGCTCATCTCCTGTCTATCTGTGTGTCTGTCTGTCTGTCTGTTTCTCTGGATCAGGGCTCACCACTGCCTGTCTAAGTGCACATCTTTGTTCTCAAATGAGGGAAGAAGAGAGGGAGGCAGTGTGGCTGACAGTGACAAGTGTCCATCCCCAAGCCAGTCACTTGGGGGAGGGGAGCCGTGTGACTGCCCTCTCAATACCAACTGGGACTAGGGGCGGTATCCAAAAAAGGGGTCTGTGTAAGGGTAGCCACCCTTAAACTTATTATACTTCTTCTTCTGGTTTCTCAACAGGAATAACTGAAGTCACCTTTACTGGAAATCAGTTTGCTGAAACTATTGAAAGAGCCATTCTTGAAGTTGAAGAAAAGGTAAAAGAAAGTAAATTTGTGTCTGCTAACATTCTCTTATAAGAGGATGTTTGGGGAGGGATTGCTGTGCCTGTCATTCTTCACACATGCCCAGGTCGGTATGTCATATTATACCCTTCCTCTCTGCCTGGCCAAGTTCCCATTCATCCCTCCTTCACCTTTATCAAATGCCACCTCCTTGGAAATGAAGGCTTTTGCTTCCACCCTGGCTGGCAGTGATTTCTCCTGCTTTTGAACCCCTATAATACTATCTCCTTCTTACTGACATGTATTCTCGTGGGCTCTATCTTATCATTTGTGCCCCTCCTCTGGCCGTTCCTCTCCCATAGCTGTATCGAGTGTAGGGGCTCCTTCTCTGTGACACCCTCCATCCTAGTGTTTCCACACTTCATTATACATTCATGCACCGCATAACAGCATTTTGGTCAACAACGAACTGCATGTACGATGGTGGTCCCATAAGATTAGTATCATGCAGCCTAGGTATGTAGTAGGCTATACCACGTAGGTTTGTGTAAGTATACTTTACGATGTTCACACAACGACAGAATCACACTGCTGCCATCACAAACCCTGGGGGCTCTGTCTCTTACCGCCCCCCCCCCCCCCCCCCCCCCCCCCCCCCCCCCCCCCCCCCCCCCCCCCCCCCCCCCCCCCCCCCCCCCCCCCCCCCCCCCCCCAGCCCCCAGGGTTCCTTCCAGGTAGGGGAGCCTTGCACTTCCATTGAGAAATGCAATCTGACCCTGGTGTTCCCCCAACCCCCGCCAGGCAGCTTTCTTAAAAGCAGGTATCTTCCTCCAAGAACTTTCAGTCAGTCTTGTACATTTTATTTTTGTTAGGGCTTATTGAAATGCAGGAAAATTAATTAGTTTACATTAATGCTGCACTGTCTCACTCTATGAGTAAGCTGGAAGACACTAACAGAGGTTTGATCAGCCTAATCTAGCTGTATCTAATGATGTTCTTTCCCTCCTTTCTTCTTTAAATAATTGTAAATGGTTCTATCAATCAAGGCGGCACAGTGCAGACCTTTATTGCCATGTGGAATTGTTTAGTTAAATGTGATTTTTTAAAAATGGCTCAACTTTTAATTAAAAAGCAGATTGTCAAATGACATTTTGATTTGTCTTTTGACGTGGGAATTGGAAAACAGACCCATCATGATAGGAAACCAGGTTCTAGTCCAGAAGGAGGCATATTAACTTAGAGTAGGTTTTCAGTGAGTCATTGTTTTCCTAAAATAGGCCACCTTCTCTGGTCTTTTTGTTGAGAGAGAGAGACCTTCCTCTGTGTCTGATACCACCTTAGGTTAACGTATTTTCTAGGGGAGACTGTAACCTGGAATGCCCCAAACAGGGTGTAACTGTCAGGGCTCAGGTCTAGATACCAAGACCCTTCTCCTAGGATTCCTTGAAAACATCAGTATCAAGAAATCAGCAAACCTATTATGATGCTTGTAATTGAAGAAAATATGAGGCTACATACTTCTACATACATACTGCCCCAAAGCTGCGATCTGCCTTACTACTGAGGGTCATCCTAGAAGCAGCCTGCATGTGTTCTGGCTGAGTTTGGCCCCATAAGCTCACGTGCTGCACCCTACCTTGAGCTGGCACGGTGGCAGGACATCTAAGCACCCCCAGAGGAGGGCAGGAAGGGTCACCAGCGAGGCCAGCCCCAGGCGTCCGTCACTCCACACGACTCCTCTGTGCTTTGTAGCACTTTTCATACGTTTTATAGTAGTTAGCAAACTTGGATATCTCAGGGGCACCTCAAGTTTAATGGGTCTGCATTTTGACTCTTGGTCTCTGTCTACCACGGCCCCTTTCCAGACCTCCCTGCTCCCCATCTTATTAAGGTGCACAATTGTTAACTCACTTTTTCAAGCCAGAAACTGGGGAGTTGTCTGTTAACACTTACCTTTGTCTTCCTGCACATCATCAGGTCCTAACAATGCTTCTCCTAAAGTAGATCTTGAATTCATCTACTGCGTTCCCGCATTCATCTCCAAGTCCATGACACCATCATTTGCCTAGGTTACCGCAAAAGACTGTGGACTGGTTGCCCTGCTTCCACTTTCCCTCCATTCTGCTCATGACTTTGGACCCGGGGTGATCTTTAAAATACTTGTGCTATCATTTCACTCCCTTGCTCAAACCTGTCAATAACCTCCTCCTGCACTTGGATGAATCCCATAAGCCCAGTGTGGACCATGGAGAGGACTGCACAGTCTGGGCCCCAGACTTGGCTAGAGATCCCACAGCTTTGTTGACATCATGTTGAAGTAGTGTGTGAGATACTTTTCTCTTTCACTCTTGGCTTCCTTGGCAGATTGCAATGACTTCGATTTTCCACATGCAATAAAGTAACTGTCAGGCTCTCAAAGGTATACTTAGAATGGATATTGTGTTCTAGGAAATGGTACAGGAAGTGATTTGTTCCTCCAGACCCCAGAATATCAACCCCTAGAACACAAAGGTGGACCACTATTTCATTTGGAACCTTCTTAAGTAAACCAATTAAAATTCTAAGAGCCAGCTCTGATGGCCTAGTGGTTAAAGTTCGACGCACTCCACTTCGGCGGCCTGGGTACGCTTCCCAGGCACAGAACCACACCACTCATGTCAGTAGCCATGCTGTGTTGGTGGCTCACACAGAAGAACTAGAAGAACTTAGTATCTATACACAACTGTGTACTGGGGCTTTGGGAGGGAGAAAAAAAAGGAGGAAGATTGGCAACAGATGTTAGTGAAGGGCGAATCGTGCCCTGCAAAAAAAAAAAAAAAAAAAAAAATTCTAACACCCACGCTAATCCTCAAGCAGTCCCCTTACCAAATATTTTGGTATAAAAATGTGCAACAACATTTTAGCTCAGGAAATCACGAGTGAAACTTGGTTCCAGGCTGGTAGAAGAAAAGACTGACATTCTACAGGCAGGGAGAGAAAGAAACAAACTAAATATTAGTATATAGCTCTCCTTTTTAAGCAGAATTCTGCTATCCTGAAACCTATATGTTTACCTTGGTCTTGAGCTTTACTTTCGTGTGTGTGTTTGTGGAACCAGGTACACAAACACACACCTGAAAAGGGATTCTGTCTTAGTTGAGTGACACTTTCCATTTTCCCCAGCCTTCCGTTCAAGGTAATTCATGGGAATACTGAAATTCCAGCTTAATTTTGGTTTATTGTGGCCTCAAATTAAGACAACTTTTCTATGATCTGAACTTGAAATTTTTTATAGTACTAGTTTGATGAGTCACCTGATGTGTTACAAGCAAAGACTGTAATAGGAATACCAGGCAAGGTGACCTGAATACAGTGTGATGAGCGCCATGGTGGGGTTTGTTACCAGATGTCATGGGAGCACAGAGATGAGCCCCTCACTCACTTGGGGGGCAGAAAAGTCATGAAATGCTTTCAAGAGTATGTGATGCTAGAGATGGGTCTTGAAGGAGGAGTGTGCCAAGTGGAATGAGTGACTGGGAGAAAAGCAATGGAAAAGGGCATTTCAGACAGCTGTGTGGGTGGAGGCTCTGGAGGTCAGCACGGGCATGGCATGCCATGGCCGCTGCAGTGGAAGGCATGAGGTGGAGTTGGGGGCTAAGGGTTGACAGGGGCTGGATCATGCAGTGGAATGCCCCTGTGGAATTTTACTCTGGGGAGTTACTGGATCAGATTTGTCTTTACAGTAGGGATTCTGTAGGCTTGGTCTCTACTTCTAAGGCTTCTCCTGAATGGCAGTGTCCAAATCAGACACACAAGTCCTTCTATCAGTTCCTGTAGGTGTGAGTCTCAAAATTCCATGGACTTCCAAGTTTAAGGTATGACAACAGGCTATCTACTGGTAATCCCAAAGACATTATTAAAAGTTACTCAAATGTGGTTGGTGTTAAATTAGCACCCTGCTGGAGTTTATAGTTGACTCTATTTTGTATTCCATTGGGAGTCCAGCTGCCTCGCCATGCTCGGCAGTGATGAGTTTCAGCCTCCTCCGGAGCATGGACATACACAGGGCGTTGGAGTTCCTGTAGATCTTGGAAATGGCATTCTAACGGTGCAACAGCATTACAAGATGTTGTCACAAATTCAACATGCTGAATTTGTGACAATTTTTAATTGCTTAGGAATCTGGATGTTTAATTATCAATTACTGTTAGCTTGGCTTTCTCATTATTAGTTTAGAATGATTTGGCTAGGTGGTAACCTTGAAGTGTGAAGTGATGCATATTTACACCAGCGATATTTTTTGGCTTAACAGTGACTTTAAAACATGTATGAGGTTGAAATGAGTCATCTATATGCCTTTGCTAAAGAAGATGTATACATGCCCTGCATTTGCTTCTGCAGTGATTCCTCACAATTGTTACCACATTCTTTTTCGCTGGTAAGGAGAAAGTGTATGGGATGGGCACGTTGTAGCATCCTTTGCCTTGCCTCCACAGGTAGTGATTTCAGGATTTAGCAATGTTTGTATTATCTGGGGCTTGAGAAGATGGAAGGTAAGGCAGGGAAACACGGGGTAGGAGGCTGTTGCAGAAATCCTCGTGAATGAGGATGAGGGCCTGACCTAGTGGTAGTGAGGATGGAGAAGGGGGGATATGTTTGAGAGATGTTTAGGATAAGGGACCGTTAGGACTTCGGGAACAACTTGATGTAGGGAATGCAGGAGAGAGGAGGTGCCCAGGAAAACCCCCAGACTTCGGGGTTGGGGAACGTTAGTAAGAGGAACAGGCTTCTATCTTTTTGGCAAATTCTGAACCCCTGGTGGGGGCAGTGGACAAAGAATGATTAACTTTTTAAAAAGATAGAGGAAGGAGGGCTATTTTACAGGCATAACTGTAGGCAAAAGGGCAATTAATTTTGAGTAAGGGGCAGTTTTCTCCGCGGCGAGAGGACGTAAAGCAGGCTGAGATGAGAAGATGGGCATAGGCACGTGTGGGCTTGTTCTGCCACGACGTGCAGAGGGACAGAAGTCTGACTGCTTGACGTGATGTAGGCTG